GAGCAATGACTACTCACTAGCTTCCTGATTGAGAGATCGAGGCTGTGATTTACCCTGTGTGTTTACATCATTACCAGGATTCTCAAAATCCTATCACAGATTTGAGTAATTATCACTATCCTAGATAATGGGGCAGAATGAACCAACAGAATAGTAGTTGGGGGAGCAGAATTAGGGAAGTGTGTCAGCAAAGTCACTGGTTTGTTGAACATTACAAATAGTAAAAATTTCAACTTGGGGTCAGAGGTATGGAGTTTCTCCTTTTCTTCATCCCCTCCCTCTTCCTTTAATTTTTCATCCTTCAGTCCTTGTTTTGTAGCTCTTTGGTAAACATCAATTTTCTTTTGAAACTTTAGCTTTACATAGTTGTAGGATTGTGAAGATGAGTTTTCAGTTATGAGATCATTTATTCACCTCACTGAAAATGCAAAATGAATAAATGAGGCAATATTAAACAATAATAAAACACAGGGCTTCCGAGAAAGAATTTCATCTGTCTATATGTCTTCTACCTATGGCTGTATCTACAATTTATTCTACCCCTGAAGTTTTAGTGACAATTTTATCGCTACCTTGCTACCTCAAATAAAATTTTCAGGAGGCATGTTTTCAAGTGTCATACCTAATTATTTTCTCTCTTCTAACATAACTAAAGTAAGATCTAAGAAAAATAAAGACAATTTATAATTATAAATAATATTGATAGTTCAGAATTTCCTGTTTATTGGGTAACATTTCAGTGTGTCATCTTGTCTCTATGATTACCCTGAAGTATTAGGTAGTAGGAATACTGTATCATGGGTAAGGAACTCAAGCATACTTCAAGTCACTCTTGGGCTCCCTAAGGAAGACTTCTTTTTTTATAATAAATTTTATTTAAATTAGAAACAATCTTACTTTACATATCAATCCCCCCATCTAGTCCCCAGGCATGACTTCTTCATAGCAAATTCTTAGAGGAAAAAAAAACATGAAATGAATTCCCTGACTTCTGATATAAGAAACAGCTCATTAATATCCAGAACTGCTGAAAATTCTTTGGACATTTGAGCTGTCTTTGTTTTGTTCAGATTTAGATATAGCCCACTTTAAAGATGATAATTCATCCCCACCATCCCTTACAGAACATTCTAGGGTGAATCCTTGCCAAAGCCACTCAAGAAGATATTTTTAATCTTAAAAGAAATTAAACTTCAATTAAAAATCCTCCTCACTGGCTTCATAAGGAAAACATTATATGCAGAATTATATTAAATCTTATTTCACACAGTCATAACATGTAGGTGTAATTATACAAATATAACTACAGGTGTTCAGTAACCACCGTGTCCACCGCATGCTATTTGAGGATTCTGAAGCAAGAGGTATTTAGTGGGCTGTCTAAGGTCACAGTCTGAAAATAAATTTGGATCAAATTGGAGGCATCGAAGTTTACATAAAAAATTTGTGAAAAATATGTAGGAATTGAATAGTACAGGAAGAAGGAAACACAGAGAAGCAATCTTATTATACCATAACTCTTTTTGTAGGTTTATCCATTACAGAACCTGAGTACAGTTGAGCTGCAAAGACCTTTGGGTTTAGGTAATTTTAACTAGTTTCTGGTCTGAGGAAAGAAAAGATGTAAAAGGTACACAGAATGCACAGTGTCCCACAATGGATGGCCAGAATTCAAATTCAGATTTGCATTATTCAAAGCTATTGGGCTGTTGTGCTGTACAGCATCATCTTTATGATAGTTCAGTCTCCTGGAAACACACGCATTTTCACACGCTCTGTTGGATAGTTCTATCAACCTGACACAAACTAGAATCACTTTGGAAGAGAATCTTAATGGGGAATTATCTGTATCAGGTTGCCCTATGGGCATGTATGTGGGGGATATTTTTAATTGATGGTTGATGCAGGAAGACAAAACCTATTGTGGGTGGCATAATTCCCTAGGAAGGTGGTCCTAAACAGCATAAACATGGAGAAACGTTGCTGAGAGCAAGCAGACAAAGATGCACTTATTATGTGTCTGCACTCGACTTAGGATGTGATGTGATTTACATGAGTTCCTGACTTTATTTGTCCAAGGTGATAGATTGAACTTAGAATTTTAGGTCAAACAATGTTTTGATCCTCTTGGTTGCTTTTCATTGGGGGTATTTTAGCACAGCAACAGAAATGAAACTAGAACACATGCTAAGCGTGTGCTCTATCCCTGAGCATACCACCAGCCTCCAAATGCTTAGCTTTATAAAGTCACTAGTTGAGAAGAACTCTATTTTGAGAGATTATTATATATTGTAACCCATCACCCCAATCTACCATTTTTTAAAAAAATGCATTTATTCTTTCCACAATTTGCCTTTAGAACTGAAAAAGTTAGCAGGTGTGTCACTGAAAACGATTAAAGAACTATTCTTTCTTGGCTTCCACTTAATTTAAACTGTTACACTATATATTTAACTTTTTATTTTGCAGTGCCTTCTAACCTCTTACCTTACAGAACATGAAATGTGTGTCAGCAAGTGCTTTGAACACTCTCCCACTGATGTTGTTCATGAAGAGGAGAGGTCAATTGTGGTGGCTTTGCAAGAAAAGTATTAGTTCCATGTTACAGAAAAAGAAAGTACAGAAGTATGTGGGTGTAATTGGTAGGTTTATCACTTCCAGCAACAAAAACGGTCCTTGAGATTTCTGAAAGGAGTCGTACTTTTAGTTATCTTGCTTTATTTGGGGTTGATTAAATATTGGAATGAATGATGAGGCCATGAAGCACTAAAGGATGAGGCAATAAACAAAAGACATAAGAAAGAGATCACAGTGGAGGTATCAGTCTTCAATTAAAAGCAACATATACAAGAAAGGGATTTGCTCAACACAATGTATTCATATATCAGAAGGCTGTAGTGGATATGTCAAGGAGGGAGGCAGAAATTGTGTCTTCTTGAAACTCCTATGAGACTACACAAAATGGCTAAGAGTGAAATGTGTGGTTTTTGTAGAAGTTGCATGATGTTGAACTCAAATTATTAATACTTGGGAAGAGAGACTCAATTGCTCCATGATCATTGTAACTCATAGCTGCAAAAGCTCTATGGTTAGATCACAAAAGCTGAGCACACTGGAGGCCTCAGTGAGAGGGAAATATTAATATCTGCTAGCAGTCAGATGAAATAAATATAAAGGATTCTGCAGTGAAGCAATGAGGGGTGCTCATTACAAGTGTTTGAGAACAAAGACTGACTGCACTACTTAAAGATGCACGAGGCAATAAATTATGTGGAGCCAGTAGTGAAAAAGAAATTGATACTTTCTTCCACTATACCAACTAATAATCACCCCTCCCATTTTTAGATTGGTACCAAAGAAAGGAAAACCCTGAGAATTCATGAAAATGTCCCAAATACTGTATAATAAGCAAGGTGTAAGGAAAGTCAGAATTTGTCTAAGGAGGCCATTCTTTGGTAGCCATGTCTATAGAAGAGACAGTCTCAAGGCTGTCTTTCACTTCATTTTCAATGGTTTTGATATAAAACTATTTTTTTTATATTTTTCACTAGGGGTCTGATTTAAAGACATCATGGTATAAGGTTGAAACTGTGTAAAATGAAACAAATATTATTTGTATGTATTTCCATCTGTATTTGCATCAGTGACAGCAGATACCTTTAAATTCTTATTTTGGTAAGTGCAACCACCTGATCTTACTTCACAGAGTAGAGCATTCAATACTTAGCTGCCCAATTTAACAAAAAGAAAGAGCTAAAGTGTGATGAGCTATGACAAGCACAAGGAGATGAGGCCAATCATTTCAGTTATCTAATTCCATCTAGAAAATTCTTGAGCAAGAGCTGTCTCCGCTGACATTGGGAAAAAAAAAGAGAGAACGGACATTGGCTAACTATTGATAATACAGAAATCCAAGTTACATTATTTTTCCTAGAAGCTGTAGTTTCTTGATAGTTGTGGCAGCATCTGATGGTTTATTGATCTAATGAAACTTACCTTACTTATTTGTTAGCTCTAAGGAACTTGGTTTTGAGTAACCTTATAGTGACTACTCAAGTTGTTCTACACTGACTAAAAGATCTTCCATCTGATCTCTGATTTTCCTTCTACTGCACATTTATTGGAATATAATTTATATAAAATAAAGTTCTTCATTTTCAAAGAAAAGCCTCAACCTTTTAAGTGTATTCCTATAATCTATAGTGATCATAATTATCTAATTCAAGAATTGCCAACATCCCAAAGAGAAAGTACATACCCATTTAACAGTCCTTGTATCTTTCTCCCATAAAATACTAGCCAAATTTGTTTCCAGTAGATTTTCATATTCCAAAAATTTTGTGTCATGTTCTGTATACTGTTTATAATTTCCATCTTTCATATAGCATGATATAATCAAGGCTCATCTACTGTGTAAAATGGATAACTAGTTGGCTTCTCTTTATGAACAAATCTTATTCTACTCTGTGGATGGACAGTATTTGTATACACATTCTTCAGTAGAATTGTTTCCACTTTTCACAAAAATGCTGAGGTTTGTAAGTACATTACTGCCCCTCTGGAGTGCAAATCTGAGTTTGGATTTCAAGATGAGATGTCACCTTAATAGTTATCTTTCGAGGTTCCACAGACTCTTCAAAGTGATGGCAACATTATTTTCCTCCATTTTTTAAATTTAAATTAGAAACAAGATTGTTTTACATGTCAATCTAAGTTCCCTCTCCCTCCCCTCCTCCCCTGCCCCCCACTAACAGTCTACTTATCCCATACTATTTCTGCTCCCCAGGGAGAGTGCGGTCTTTCATGGGGGGGTTCAGAGTCTGTCATATCCTATGGGATAGGGTCTAGGCCCTCTCCCATGTGTCTAGGCTGAGGGAGTATCCCTCTATGTGAAATGGGCTCCCAAAGTCCATTCCTATGCTAGGGATAAGTACTGATCTATTATAAGACGCCTCATACATTTATAGCTTCATCAGCTATGCTTTGCTTCCTTTTCACAGACTCCAGAGGAACTAGAGGATGTTTCTGACCTTGAAGAAGATCACGAGGTCCGTAGCCACACCAGCATACAGACAGAAGGAAAAACTGACAGAGTAAGTCATCTACAGGGGAACATCTGTGGGCTCTGAGTGGTCCTTGTCAATCCAGGAAGCCTCTCATACATGAGACGCATGGATCTGGGTTTGACTTACTGAAGCCCAGAGAGATAGGTCTCAGACTATGGCTATAGCCAGCTAAGAAAATATTTTCTCTTTTCAGAAATCACAGTGAGAGCTCTAGTGTCTGGTGAGGAATCATTCCAAACTGCTTTTGATCATGCATATATCACGTGAATATGAAAGTAAAAGTCACACATGTTTGTTTAGTGTAGAGAATAGGATTCAGGATTTTGTAAACATACTCTATATAATAGGAAACAAAATCTCCTACTGAGTCAGTAATGGGAACTTTAATTTTTGTCTTTAGTGTTTTCTTCTGTAACACACACAAATACACACATACCCCCCCACACACACACAAGTTATTTTTCTCTGTGTTTTGTAGTAAGAATAGTCCACGTTTCTCTTTCATCTGAGTACATTGTTTAGAAAATAGATACCACTTTTATATAGTCAGAAAGTATTTGCTAATATATGGGGTGGAGACGCCTTCCTGAGATACTCTTGAAGTTAATTCATGCTAGGAACTGTCTAGAACATATAGTGTCTAGGTATAAGTTTCTTCAAATCTATCAGCTATCATTGGTAAGAGACAGAGTCATGAAAATAGCATTAGAAGAAGAAATGTGATTTGCTGAAGGTAAACTCTGCTCCAGGAGCTGGTGGAGCATATTTGTGTCATTGGAATCAGGGTAGGTGTCAAGACTGACAAGCCACTGCTAGAAGGAATTTTAATTAACAAGTAGGGACTATTTTGCATTTGGACAAACATGACCGTTTTTACATTCAGGTATTATACAAATAGATAATGAATCATTGGTTTAGACCCTTAACATGAAGAAACTTCACATTTCTTTAGAAAATGAGGGTTAGCTCAGATGTTTTCATGTTTTCCTAGTAACTTCAAGTAAGATGACACAGAACAGATTGTTTTATAAGCTTTAAAACTGTATATGAAAAGGTAAATCTTATTTCCATTTTAAAATATATTTATTATGTGTCCTGGTTACCAGCCAGATAGATGGCCCTGTTGATCTTATTCCTGGACCTTTTAGGGTCTTTCATAGGAATGTCAGAACTGTTTATAATCTTAGAACCATTCAGAAATTTCTTTGGATTGTGGATTTTCTTCCAGTTTTATAGAGTTCCATCACAATCTAATTTCTCTCCAGTGAATCTGTGTGCTAATGTCATCAGAAACAGTAACAAAACGGACTGGTTTTGTTTTGTTTTGCCAAAATATCACAAAATAATCTCTAGTTCTTTGTTCCTCTGAAATCTCTTGAACTGACTTTCCAAAATCCAAATCACCCTTAGCCCCTTAGCAATACTGTCTTCCCTGTTCCTGGTAGGCTGGCCTACTAAGTCCAATTTATAGTATTCAATTGTTTTTGTGGTGCAAAGTCCCAACGTTTCCAAAATCCTCCAACTAACAGCATGGTCAGGTTTATTACAGCAATACCCCTCTCCTGTTATCAACTTCTGTTTTATTGTTCTATGGTTGTGAGAAGATTTTGTGAGAGAGACTTTTATTTTAAAAAAGCATTTAATTAGGGTCTTGCATACAGTTTCTGAAGATTAGTCCATGAAAATCATGGCAGGAAGTATGCAGGCATTGTGCTCTGGCAGTAGCTGCAAGCTTTATATACTAATCTGAAGGGAACATAAAGCAAGCACAAACCTGTTTCTGACACAGACTTTTGAAAACTCAAAGCCAAGCCCCATTGACACACTTCCTCCAACAAGGCTACACTTCCAAATCCTTTTAATTCTTTCAAACAAGTTCCACTCCCTGGTGACTAAACATTCAAATATATCAGCCTCTGAAGGCCATTCTCATTCAAACCACTACACTAACTTTTTAAATAAGTGGAGGATATTTTCAGAATCAGACATTTGATTACTATTCATTTGACTTCTCTTATAACTGAAAACTGGTAGGACAAATTCTATATTAATATAGAAATGAACTACCAGCACCATGCAAAAAAACTGATGTATCTTTAAGGTAATGAAGGAGACAGAAACTAACACAGAGTGACAAAGCTCTCTTAGTGGGGAGCATTCCATAGTGAAACCTAGATGTCTGTAAACAATAAAAATAAAAGTAACTGTTTAAATTTAATCAGTTTATAATATACATAATTTAACTCCAACACCACATTTTGGTATGTCTCTATTATTTCAAGTTCATTATAACAGACTTTGTTCTTAAATATGATATGGGTAACAAAAAGAATAACAAATGCCTATCTCTAACTCAAGTCATCTAACAGGAACCCAGAATTTGTTTTAATAATTTTCATAATGTCTGTCAGACATTTCATCTCCCTAACAGTTTCCTAATTCTTCTCATGAGATAATGATATGTCCCCTACTCTCATGGCTGAGATCATATTTTTTGGTATATTCAGAATTTTTGTTCGTTTTTGTGTCCATTAGACTGTGTCTTTAAATACATTTCATGAACACCAATCCTTTGGGGATATGCCATAAAATTTATCATGGACTTTTCTGAGAATCATTTGAATACTTACACCATGCTGTATATTGAATTCATGGTCTCTGCAAAGACAAATGTCTAGATTCCTTTCTGTTCCTGGCATGATGGAGGACTCAACATTTTTTTTTGCTTCTTATATTTTGCATACTCTGTTATATTGGACATGCACTGGAACCAATTTCAGACTCTACTTAGGCACTGAGTGACAGTTATTTATTATCATTTTATTTTCTGTGTTTCACTGCTAGTAGTTTTGGCTCAGCATCATCTGTTATGCTGTCATCAGCTGTAAATGCCATTGGGTGTTGTAAAGATCTGTAACTAAAAATAATGATTCAGAGTCTGTAGACAATGAGAGACAAATATTAAATGACCAATAGTGCATGCCTTATGAAGTGGCAATTGGAGAGCCAAGCAAACATGATTATCCCAATATTGAGCATGGGAATTCTCTGGACCAATGGTGTGATTATATCTACTGAACAGGTTCCACAGTAGCACAGGAGCTTGATTGTATAATAGATTTGCAGACAATTTTTCACAGAGGTTATTGTTTATTCTGTTTATTCTTTAATCAAATATAATAAAGGATTTTTTCATTGTAAAGCCTCAAAATGAAAAAGGCATGAAATTAGATTTCTAATATGACTTACCATAATAAAGCTTTTATGAATCCCCTTTTCCTTAAGATTAAACTAAATCTATGGTAACTTATATTTTTCTATAAACACAGCAGTTCTGAGTATTGAATAACTCATTGAAGTTCATACAGTATCTCCAAGTTTGTATCTTTTTAACAAAAGAATTAGAGTTTGTGTTTATTATTATACTCTCCTTAATTTGGAAAGTAGAGAAACAAAGAATTTAAATAGCTTATGCCAGTCATGTTGATTGTGACAAAATCACAGGTTCTCTCTCTCTCTCTTTCTCTCTCTCTCTCTCTCTCTCTCTCTCTCTTCCTCTCTGTTCCTCTTACACATGCACTCGCACACCCACACCCACGCCTTCTAGAACAGCACATTTGCTATGCATATCAAAGGTCTCATGACTTAGTATAGAACTGATAGTACAACTGTCCACTAGAAAAATAGTTTATGAAACCAAAGATCATGCCATAAAATCACACCTGTTTGGATCTTAAAAGATTCTAAATGCCCCAGTACTAGATCTTCTATCAATTGGAAAATCAGTTTGTTGATTCACATTCTGCATCTACAGGGTAAAGCCCAGTCACTCAGTCCCCTGTGTGTAATGATAAGTCTGCCAGCCACCTGAGTTCCACTGGCATGTTAGGGCCCCAAATAACACACAGAGACCTATATTAATTACAATGCTGCTGGCCAATGACTGGGATTTCTTATCTATATATTTTATAAAGACTTATCTGATCAAGGATGCTGGCAGCATGCATCCTCTTTTGTCAGGCTCACATGGAGGCTCCAGAGAAGAGAACAGGAGGAAGAGGAAGAGAACGACTTCCCGCTTGTCCCTGCTTATATTCTGAATCTGCCTGCTATGTCACTTCCTGCCTGGATCACAAGACTTTACTACTACATTTCCCAGAATCCTCCTTGACTCCTAGTCCTGCCTAACTTGCTGCCTCATTGGCTGAACAGTGCTTTCTTCAGCAATCAATAAGATAAAAATACACAAAAGGACGTCCCCCATCAGCTCCTCTTTTCTGTCTAAATAAAAAGAAGGGTTTTACCGTTAACATTTAGCAAGATTTAAAGAAAATATTCTATCATCTATCTTGTCTTTGTTGGATTTTTTTCCTCCACCTCCTTGCCGCAAGGGCTAGTTTCTGCTGGTGTTCAGTGACATCAGTGAGAGCATCCAGTATGGTGCTACTTCCCCATTCATAGTCTTCTTCCTGCACAAAACACCCATCTGTCCTGCAAGCTTCCAGGTAGGAGCGATTACTTCTGCTTGATAAATGAGTTTTAGGCAAATAGAGTAGGATGGCAGTCGATTTTGTGGGGAGTAAAACTAAGATATCCCAGCAGGGAACTCACAAGGGGAGGGGCAATTATGTTGTGCATGCCCTCTTGTTGTGCTGACTTTTCGTTTTTGTTTCAATAAAATAAAGAAGAGAAATATACTTTCTCATATAATTCCCTGGTTTATCTTCTGCCATGGGAACAAAAGGGGCAGCTGACGCTCAGTAAATTTCTCACCATTAGAAAGAGAGTAGCTGAGAGAATGGCCCCCGATACTTCTCGGTGGACAGGTGCTTAATAAAGTGAATTGAAAGAGTAGGGATTGAAATGCAAGGAGAAGTCAAGAGCATGGTATTTAGAGTCACATAAGAATAGGTTCTAGTGTTTGCTATATTACTTACAACAACAGACTTTGAAAGCCTTCCATTTCTGATGCTCAGTTTTCTCATTTGTAAAATTGTAATAGTATCTCTTTTATGTAAGGTTTCAAG